ACAATTTTATATAAATTAGTAAATTAAGTGTTATTTCCAATTATTTTATCTTATAGCAAAATTTAAAGGAAAAGTAATATTGTGCCTTTCTCAATACTCCTTTTTTATTGTTAATTTATGCCAAAACTTAGTCTTAAATCAAACAAACAAAAGGTTTACCCACTGAGCTTCATTTTAATATCCCTTTCTAACTGTCCCCAAACATCTTAAATTAAAGTGAAAAGTTGCTACTGGGCACATAAAATCTCTAAACTCAGTCAAAACATTTAGAAGTAGGTTTATAACTTGCAGATAATCAGACAGAAAAGTTTTTGTTTGTTAAGTATCCCCTTCCAACTCTTAGCCTGTTTCTTTTCTCATGTGCAGCAAAATTGGAAAGAGATTTTGTTTCTATAATCTGAAAATTCCTTTGTTTATGAACCACTGTGAATAATCCACCCTCTTGCCCACCTCAATATGTTGTTCTCCTGCTAGTTTGTGTATTTTATGTCCTCCCCACTCTTAAATTCAGTTTTATGATTTCAACCACACTTAGGAGTGGAAAATTTTATAAAATAGGTGATGATTTATACTGCTGATTATACTGCTTCCTTAACCAAGAGTCTAACTAACAAGTTTGAGTCTAAAAAAAGGAGTTTGATTTGGTTCACAGTTTGTTAAAAGAATTATCTACATCTTGCATATAAGATAAATTATAATTTAAAAGGTACTTAAATAGAATTTAGCACAATTTTAAAGCAAGAATGGAAATGGGTTCATCATGCCTTGTTGATTTTCCACTGCCTATTGATAATTTCAGCGCGGAATTTACCTATATTGCCGCATGCACCACAGGAGGCAAAGTAACCCTTTTTCCGTGCTAGTGCTTTAGGGGAGAAAAATAATCAGATTATATTTATTGTAAGCAGAGTTTCATAATTTAGGGACATACAAATTTTTAAGCCTCTAATGAAGAAAGCAGTTGCCAAAAATTAGATATTATCCTTCAAAACTACCCTGCCCAAATGGTACTTGAGGATGTTACCTCTAGAAAGGAAACTGACTGAATTTGCTCTGTGTGTTGTACTTGTACAGCTTGCCACCGAGACATTTATAAAGGAATCGATATGAGAGGAGCCAATGTTAATGTATCTAAGGTTAACAGTGTTGAAGAATGCCAAAAATGGTGCACCAATAATATTCACTGCCAGTTTTTCACATATGCCACACAAACATTTCACAATGCAGAGTACCGGTGAGTAAAATGAGTACTGTTTGTTCTTTACGATGGTGCTTCCAGGATTTAACTGTATTCTTCATAACCTCTTTTTTTTCCAACTGAAAACCAAACAGGGCTTTTAGATCTAACCACTTTCCTTATTTACTTACTCAGTTTTAGAGCCATTTTTCCCCGAAGAGAGTAAGGTCCATTTGGCCCACAAATAGGCTGTGCTTATCAGATGAAGGTTTATTGTGTTGTAAAATAATGTTTCCCAACCCATTCTCACTCTCACTTTCTCTCTGCAGAGAAGGATGTTCGTTTGATTAACAATGCAATTCCCTAACTCACTCATTATCAGGATCATTGTTCTAATTGCCTTGTTTATTGTCCACTGCCTATGGGTTTATTTTGATGTCAAATATTACCTGTACTGCTGCATGCTCCTCAAAATTTAGCTAGCAAAGTGACTCTTCTCTTCACATTCAGGAACAACTGCCTATTAAAGCAAAGTTCAAGTGGAACGCCGACCAGTATAAAGGTGGTGGATAATGTGGTGTCTGGATTCTCACTGAAGCCCTGTGCACTTTCAGAAATTGGTAATTGTGTGACTACTGTTTCACTGTGTGATTGAAGTAGGCAGAGCTCTATACATGCACGTGACCTTATAGACTCCCAAGAATGTGTCAGAGGTTTTCAAACTTCCCTATGGACATCTCTTTCCACAAGTTTTCCTTTTAAGATTTTTCACTGGCGTGTTGCTTGCCCCAGTTGCTATTGCTGCCTTAGGCAGCTACAATGTTATATAACTACCATGTTTTTTTTTTTTTTTTTTTTTTTGACAAATGCTCCTAAGGAAAAGGCTGGTAACACTGGACAAGCTCTGGGTCAGGCCAAATAAATTCAAGCCTTGTCAGTGGGATTTTCCAGGGAACTGCCAGGCAGTTACCTGGGAATGAGCCTCTGGAGCAGCTCCAGCCCCATCCTGACCCTCCCAGCATCTGCTCTGCTGCTGGGTTTCCCCATGATTATGGGGCCGAGGAGAAGGAGATGTGCATAGGGCAGGTTAAAACCCGACAAAGCTCACTGTTCTTACTGATATTCTGCTGTTTTTCTTGAATAACAAGAAATAATAATCCTTTGGTTAATTTCCAGAGTTCTGAGTATGTTAGTTTTGACAATTTTGCCAATGACTTTTATGGAGAAGAGGATGTTTGGAGGTCCTTACTCTGCCATTCCCACTAAAATCCTACAGTGCCTTTGAAAAACAAAATAAAAACAAATAAACTGCTTTAAAAAAGAAAATGGTCTTTGGAACAAGGAAGCATCTGCCCTTTTGTCATCTGCATGGGTCAGACCATGACTGAAACATTATGTTCAGTTTTGTATTCCACATTTTGTATGGGTCAGTGGAAAAATAGAGCATTTCAAAAGAGGGCATCTGGATGATTAAATATCTAGAAGTAATGGAAAATAAAAAATGATTAAAAGAAGAAGTTAAAGACATTTGACTTGAAAAAGAGTAAGGATGACTGTCTTAATTTTTTTTTTTTTTAAGAACTGTCCTTGGAAAAGGGATTAGATTACTTTATGTGATTCCATAGGGTAGATATAGGAAGATACTACTATGAAGAAAATAAGAAAAGAATTCCTAACTTCTGGGGTGGTCCAGAAAAGAATGGGCCTTGTCACGAGGTAGTGAGCTCCTAGTCACTATACACGTCTAAGTAAAAGTCATGAAACAACCTGCCAGGGATGTCCTTGTGAGACTGCAGTTGTGGGTTGACATAGATGACCCATAAGTTCTCTTCCAGCATCAACAGTCTAATTTTTGGTTTTTTAAAAATGTAATTAGTTGAGGTCTAATTTCCTAGACTACCCATATGAAGAGATTATGAGAGATGCTTTCTTGATCCATAATTTAAATTATGTTTGTTTTTGTTTTCTCCATAATGGCTAGCATTATTCTTTAAGCTTCCATAATTTTAATAGAAGTTATGTGTTATTAAATTGAGTAAACCGAGTAAATAATATGAACACAAACAAAAAACAGAATTAAGAAGTAAGATTATATAAGAATAATAAAAGTGGATTT